GCTGATTATTGGCCCAGAATTGGAAGGATGAGCACCCAAGGCAAATATTGTGTGTCTTGTATTTTTTGCCAAAGCCCAGCCTTAACGTGGTAAGAAGCAAGGTCTGAAAGACTCTAAGAGTTTGACCAAAGGAATGTTGGTGGCACCGAATGTCACATCAGGCCAAAACAGACGGCGTGTGAGACCCATCACAATTCCACACAACCCTGAACTGCCCCCTTGGTGACTGGCTCATGCAAATGTCACATGTTTAGATCTGGAAGCTTCACTTTTACTGAGCATGAAGAAAGTTTAAGGTTGAAAATGAAAAATAAGAAGAGTTGATATCATTTCAGCTGCTGTAAAGACAAATATAGCCAGTAAATTTTTTAAAGGCTAAAACTTTAAATTCTCTAGGCTGAATATTGGGAGACGCCGGGGAAGGGGGGTGGAATTTACAACAGATGTAATTCAATTCTTTCATTATATGTTGCAAAAATGACATTGCCTGATATTAAAAGTTCTTATGAAATAAAAAAAAACCCTCACAAACAGCATCAGAAATACAACCCAAGTCCTGAAAAAAATGAGATTGTGCCATCCATCCCAGCCTCATTCCAAATCAAAATATGTATGTCTTTTATTCATAAAATGATACATATACTTACGAATACAAGCCCAAAACTGGGCATTTTGAAATGAGATATCTAACCGCCAAAAGCAAATAAGATCATTTCCTTTCACATCTCTTCACTCCTAGCAATTACCTGACTGAATTTTAACCTGACTCGAAACAGGGAGGGAGCGTCTATTTGCCCTGGCTGAATATCACAGCATCCATATGCATGTTTTCTTCCCTTCTAAAAGCCTATCACTCACTAAGATTTTTTATTAATTTCCTCAAGCAGATTTCCACTATCAGATGTGCTGGTTGTGCATCAGAAATGACCTGCGTTCAGTGGTTACTGGTCATTATGTAAGTGAAGAGGGGACCATCGCCTTCCGTGCGACTCAATGATTTAATAATTATTAATGAGACATTATGCCTTTGTACATTTCTGACAGATGATTAAGTGCGCTATAAATGTTTAACATCGCTCTCTGAGGTCTGGAAATGTGATGCCAGACGCCTATCCATGCTTTACACAATCAGAAGAGACAAATTAGATGATCAAAGTTTGGAGGCAATATTGATTTTTTTTTGGTAATATTTACAAACTGCAGGTAAAATGTGAAATGAGAAAAAGCGTGTATGATGATGGCAGGCCAGTTTCCTGGAAAGTTTTTCCCCTCTGCTCATTGGGAAGCAATTTATCTCATGGGCAGTGGTGTCGGACTAACTCCTGGGTCAACTTCTTGAGCTGTGTCTCCTTGCATCAGGCTCCGGATGGCC